GGGAAATGGGAGGAGGGGAGGAGGCGGATATCTTTTTTTTTCAATAAAAAAATTATATTTAAAAAAAAAAAACATGGCAAACGCCCTAAGCACAAGGTTCTTACCTTATTTGGAGAAACTAAGATTCAGAGAATTAATGATGTGACCCAAATCATGTGCGGTAAACAGTGGAGGCGAAATTTGATTCAAATGTGACTTTAGAGTCCAGTTTTCTATTTTTGTAGCTATAAGTCTCTAGGATTGTCGCGGATTGAACAATGCATTCTCTTGTTAAGTTAAAATATGTAATACTTGATTTGTTTATTTGTTCTTTTAATGGGTTAGGATGAAGATAATTAAAAACAGTACTGTTACTCATTATTAAACACTACTAAATTTTTATATACATGCACATAGACCTACATACATGAGCCTATTTAATTAAGTGACAATTCTCTCCTTTGTGTCTTTCAGATTTTAATCCATCTTGTTTCTCCATGAAGCACCTTGTACGTCACAGCTGAGACCATCTCTGACACCTCCAAAGCTTTTCCTGGTCCTTCCTAAGGCTCTGGTCGGTGTGGATAGTCAGTGTGATCTGGGACCTTCCTGGTTTGGATAGTTAGTGTGATCTGGGACCTTCCTGGTTTGGATAGTCAGTGTGTTCTGGGACCTTCCTGGTTTGGATAGTCAGTGTGATCTGGGACCTTCCTGGTTTGGATAGTTAGTGTGATCTGGGAACTTCCTGGTTTGGATAGTCATCTGTGGTTTCTAGAAGCAAATGCCCTGTGGAAAGTACCTTTCATGTGGAGTTCCTTGGATGCTCGCCTTCTCTGACTTTTTCTCACTCTGTCACTTCTGCTTTAAATGGTCTCCCACTGTAATTAAATTTCAGTTTTCATAACCCCACAGGGGCGGAGGATAAAAAGCACCAGCTCCTAAAGGCACCAACAGTGCAAATAGCTGCCCAGAGTCCTTCATAGTTTCCCTCGTTACTGAAGATCTTCAAGACTGCAAGAAAGGGCAGGGAGACAGTGAACCTCCAGCCTTGCTCACACGCCATGTTTGTATGAGACATTTCAGTGCCATCTCAGTGTTGTCCACTTGGAGAGTTTGTTAATCTAAGGACCACACTATGTAGAAAACGTGACTAAAATGAAAGAAGCCTTGTTTAAAAATAATGGAGTATTTGTTACGTTGGTGTCATGGTGCTCAAAATACCTGGTAGAGATAACACAGGGTAAGGACTTGCTTTGGCTAACGGCTTCAGGAAGGTCAGCTCACACTTACTTGACTTGGGGAGAGGATCATGGATCTTGGGAGAAGTGTGTTGGGGCATGCATGAGGTCCTTCACTTCTTGGGGAAGAAGCATAGAGAAAGGGAATAGGGAATGGGCCAGGACCAGATACACCTCCCAGTGGCCTATTTCTTCCAATGAGGACTACCACCTCTCCACTCCCTTCCAATAATGCTTTTCTATTGCGAGTTCATCAAGGGGTTAATCCAGTGATTAGATCTAATTGTCTCAGAAATCACACCAAAAGACACACCCAGTCAGAGCTGTGTTTCATTAATCTCCTTTGGCATTTCCTAATTTAATCAACAGGATTTAAATAATACTTTATTTTAAAAAAATTAAAAACATTTTGCTTTTATATTTCTGTGGTATATTAGTATAGGATCCTCAAAGAACATGAGTATGGTGTGATTCATTTGGTTATATGTAAAAGCACCATAGATTCTCTTCTGTGAAAATACATTTCAAGGGATGAAGAGCATTAAGATGGAGTGTATATAGAAGTATGGGATATTATTTTGTTCAAGAAAACCACATGACTCCATAAAATAATAATAAAGGTTTAACCTACGGCTACCATAAAGTCTATAAATTCACTATAGCCTGTCGTGGAAACTGGGTTGTCATTCGCTGTGCGGAAATCATTTTGAGGAGTGATTTCCAGGATAAGAATAAAATGAAAGCCTACTGCTCTTCAGGGGCTGGTGCTGAGAAAATGATGAGGGAGGAAAAGCAAAAGTAAAATGAGATTTCAAGGAGGCGATAAGTGGATTTGGTGGGTGAGACATAAATAGAAGAATGTTGGAGGAACTGAAGGGTTATTTGTGGGCTGGGAAGAACATTCTTCAGAAAAACATCAGGGCAGTCAATTTTAAGATTGCAGAGCACACATGACTGAGCTGTTTGAGAGGGACAATGAAGCTGAAATGGATGGTGGTGAATACGTAGGATATTAAATAACTTTCCTTGTGGGCAGTGGGAGATGCCATAGACTTGATACAAGAGGCAATATGATCAAAACAATCAAGGAAGAAAAGGTGAAAGCTCAGGACAGAACTTCGAGGTGCTTCAAGTTTACTGAATATAAAGGAAAGCTCCAAGAATATCAGGGAGAGATCTGAAAAAGCAGCTAGACATCTAAAGCTAGGGAAAGAATATTCTCAGGGTGGTCAACAGAGAGGACAATGAAAACAGAGAATGCACACACACACACACACACACACACACACACACACACACACACTTATTGTATACAGGTCTTTGCTCCTCCTGCCAATTTGGGTGATAAGGGAAAATGAGAATAAATTGACTTGTGGTTGACAGAGAAAAGTAAGACACCTTTATAAAATTCTGTTTGGTTGTTTTTACCCACCCAGGCTTATAAAGCAAGGGGAAAGAGAAGAAATTGGAAGGGAGCACATGAGTTTAAACAAAGCTTTGTTGTTTTATGGGAGAGATGTTCAGAGATGGCTAAGGCGACTGGAAAAGTCAAGTCAAGGAAGGCTATTGACTGTAGGAAGTAAAGGCGAGATGTTTGCTATTCATGTAAGAAGACTGTTAGGTAAAGTATCAGGAGGAAGAGGAGGCCTCAAACAAAAATAGAGGGAGTGTGTGTATCAGGAGGAAGATGAGGCCCCTCAAAAAGACAGAGAGAGTGGGAGCAGTCTAACTGATAGCAAGAGAGGAATAAAAGATACTTGTTGGTGGTCAGATGAGAGCATTTATATGGATTTTCCAGGACCAGTGCAACAAATATTACAGACTAAGTGGCTCGATTTTTCCTTGTTCTAGAGGCTCAAGGTACAAGGTTTGCCTTCTTCTGGGGCTTCCTTTCCTGGGTGGTAGATGGTTGTCATCCTGTGTCTTCACATGATCTTCCCCAGGTCTTGATCTTCTCTGAGGACATCAGTCATATTAGCTTGGGTCCCACATATGTACGGTATAATGTTCATTTATATTCTTTTTAAAATGTCTTTATTCTTTAGAGTTTGTATGATGTATTTTGATTATGTTCATTCCTATAATTCTTCTGAAATCCACCCCTTCTCACCTATCCACCCAAATTGTGCCCTTTTAAAAACTCCTTCAAGACCAATTTGTACTGTTCCAAATATTTTTGGATGTTTATTATTCTGTTGAAGCATGGTTGAGTTGCCAGGAGCTATACTCTTAGGGAAAACTGGCCTTTCCTTTCCTAGTAGGAGCAAGACTGGGTATCTGTTGACAGAGGTTTCTGTCCCACCCGGTCCTGCAGCAGTTCAGTCCCAAAGAAACACACAGAGGCCTACATTGATTATAAACCCATTGGCCTATTAGCTCAGGATTCTTATTAACTCTTACATCTTAAATTAACCCATAATTCTTATCCATGTTAGGCATGTGGCTTGATACCTTTTATTGGTGAGACATTCTCATCTTGCTTCCTCTGCATCTGGGTGATGACTACAGACTGAGCCTTTTCTCTTCCCAAAATTCTCCTATAATAGTGGCCCCACCTATACTTCCTGTCTGGCTACTGGACAATTAGCATTTTATTAAACCAATGCAAGTGACAAATCTTTACAGGGTCAAGATCATTGTACCACAGTAGGTGTCCAACTCCCATGACCATACTGAAGGATCTTATTTTACTGTAATTGCCTCTTCAAAGGTACTAGCACTTAAAGATACTAAGGGTTAGGACTTTAACAGATGACCATTTAGTGGGCACAACTCAGCCCCTAGCAGCTTCTCTAGGTGGTAACTTTTTACCTCTTTAATGGAAAGAAAAGTTATCTTCTGTGGGTGAGAACGGGGGAATTGAGAAGAGTACAAGTATTTTGAATTGAGACTAGGTTGACAAGGTATTGCTTCAGTATGGATGTCCCGTTGACACTGGTGATTAGGAATTTATAGTGTTACCTCCTCTGTTGGAGGAGAGAGGGCAAGGGAAAAGCTAATGCTCTGACCAGTGCTCCGAAAGACAGAGGAACATAAACATAAAGGATAAGGAGACAAATGAAGATTTAGATGCTGTCTGGTTTGAGGAAAACTGGGGGGGGGGGAGAGAGAGAGGAGCCAGAGACTCCACTAAGGCTGGAGAGTGACTCAACAATAATTGACAATGATAATTGATGAGAGGAGAGAACTTTTCCCAGGGAAGGGAGGTTTGACTTTAGCCTGTGGGTAATGACCAACTAAGGTCTGATTTCCAGGGTGGATGACTTGAAGGTGTGATGTCAAACCGTGAAGCCAGGACCCAAGTGGAGAGAAGACATTGATCCAAATGTGAGTGGAAACAGTCATATGGTCTGGGAAGACTTTGGAAGGATGGGTAATATACAGAGAAGTGATTAAAAGCAGAGACATTCTCTGGCTCATTGGGTTTGGGGGAATGCTTAGGAGGTGGCCAAGAGGGAGAGGACCAGATCCAGACAAGAACAAACAAGTCATTGTGGAGATAATGGAGCATGCAGGATAAATGTTCTAGAGTGCTTGCACTGGGGCATCACGTTACACAAAGTGAGATGAGAGTGGGAGCATACCATTAGAATACACGGTGAGCCTGAGGCGAAACCAAAGATGCAGAAACCGCACTTTCTCACCCCCATTCTAATGGCTTGTCTACCTTTATTTTGAGTAAAAACTATACCTGGATTTATACCAGCCTGGGAATAGTGATGGAATTTTGCTTTGGAAGAGGTCCCAGGCTGATTAGGCTATAACTGACTTCACCATCACAATAAATGGCATCTTAGAAATATTTGTAGGGTTGACTTAGAGCACATAGGAAAAGAGAAGTCTGGTGAGACATGGGTTCAGAGATTACCCATACCCAAATCATAATCTACCCTTTTACTGAAATCGCTCCATAGTCATATGGGAGGGACTTCCTCTTAGTAGGGTGGCCTAATGTTAATGGATATCTCCAAGTCACACCACCACTGGCATAATATCAGTGCCTAGTCTAGTTTGCTTCAGTATGATGAGACATTTCAGCTGTCAACACTTTCCCCTTCCCTCCAAAGGAATTTATAGCTGAAAACAAGTTTTACTTCTGACCATCTTCAGGTCTCATGATGGTTTGAATGAAAAATGTCCCCTATAGGCTTCTATTCCGCAATTGGTAGCACTGTCTGGAAAGATTTAAGAGGGATGGCCTTCTTGGAGGAAACTCATCATTGAGGGTGGGATTTGAGAGTGTATATAGCTCCGCCCCACTTCCAATTCACTCTGTCTGTTTCATGTTTGTGGCTGAGATGTGATCTCTCATCTTTCTGCTCCCGCCTCTGTGCCTGCTGCAGGCCACCATGTCTCCACTATGATGCACTCTTGTCTCTTTGGAGTCATCAACCAGAACAAATTTCTTCCGTATGTTGCTTTTGATTATTTTTATCACAGCAATGGAAAAATAATTATCACACACCTTTTTTTCAGCTGTTTGCAAACCCAGCATATCTCAATGGCAAGATGCCCCAAGTTTGTGGAGTCATAGGTGACAGTCTCCTTACCAGGAGTGCTGGTCTGAAGTGGAACCTGGGACTTTCTATTTCTCACGAGTTCCCAAGTGATCTTGAGGCTGCTGGTCCACAATGCACATTCTGAGACCCACTGCTATGAGTAGGCTTTTCTCCACCAGACTTTATTTTTAAATTTCATCCTTCCCATAACTGTATCAAATATTACAACTAGTTAAGAGATTCTCTGAGAAAGCAAACTATTTCTTGGCTTTTATTTTTGCTCCCACTGCCCTGGTGCCGGTGACCTGGTATATTTGACCATCCAGATAATTTTCTTCCAGTTTGAAGATACTGCACACTTGAGTTGAACTTGGACGTTGAATAGGACTGCAGTAAAACAGAAGTCATTCAAGGGCATTCAAGGGTACCAGGGAAATCCTTTGTTGAGTGACTGGAGAAACAAGAGATCCACAGAGTGAATGGTTCTCGATGGCTCTGGAGCAGAGATAGGGGTGATGGAAAAAAAATGCTCTGAAAAGGTGTGTGTAGAAAAAAGAGTTAAGTATTAGAGAATTTCAGATTCTAAAAGGAGGTAACTTTTTAATGTTTATAATACAAGTAACTTTTACATTTTTAATTTTTATTTATGTGTATTATATGTGTGCCTGCTTCTCTATATGGTCTCCACATGGATGAATAAAGTGCTTTTGGAGGCCAGAGTTTCTACAGCTGGAGTTACAGGCAGTTGTGAGCTGCCTGATATGGGTGCTGGAAATCCAACCTGGGCCCTCTGCAAGAGCACTGAGTAGTCTCAGCCAAGGAATAACCTCTTTAGACCCCCGTAAGTACCTTTTGGAAATGACAGGTTGTTATTCATATGTGTACATGGTGTGGTGAATGACTTTTTATATACTGAGAAAATAGTCTATTACTGAGCTAAGTCTCCAGCCCTCAAACACAAGAAAAACCAAAATAAAAAGCTTCCATATGAACACCATTTCCCTTTCTTGTTGTTAGACATTGACCAAATGAAAGGTAAACACAGGAGTCAGATAAGTGCCTGTGACCTTATCACTAGCAAACTTTCCACTGCCACGTTTCCAGGTGGGGAGTTGGTACACCTCAGAGTCAAGCTTACCCGTTGAGCCTTGGGCCACTCTGTGAACCTGAGACTCCTCTCCCCATACTCCTGTTAAGTTAACTTCTTTCCAGCAGTAAGGGACTGGGATGCACTGGATGAGAAGTCGGGGGACAGCAGACCTAGTGACAAGTAAATGCTGTCCCCATGCTGTTCAGCTTGAAATCAGAAGAGGGAGGAAGGAAGGCACTAGAAAATAGCCTTAGCCCTTTCTTCCAAATTAACCAAGAACACAGAAAGAAAAGTAGCATAAAGATTGAAGAAGTGGTCAGAGGGTTTTCATCCTTCTTTGAATAGTTGGGTTGGCAAAATGCTCTTTCTGATAACTGATGCATGTTGGTGCATGCCCTATTCATAGTTTATTAATATATTTTTACATCTATGCTGTGAAAACTAATCCCCCCACTGCCACATTCCCTGCTACACGGCAACTGGCACACCTTCTGGTTTGTGCTCCTTGCTCTGGAGTTCTGTGTACATAATTGCTTTTTTTTCTCTGTGTACATAATTGCTTTTATTTTGTCAAGCAAAGCATATTTGTCAGTATTTAACCAGCACCAAGGCATAAAACCAAAGCTGTGCAGAACTGTTCCTGGTGCCACCAGTTGTGTGGCCATTGGTGGGGACTCTGCAAAGATAACACCTGGACAATAAAGATTACTACACCTAAAACAATTTACCAGACCTCATAAATATTTTATTAACTAATAAATTAATAAATTTGAAAGTTATATAATTGCAGACATTAACATGCAGAGTTTTAGTAACCTGTTTGCTGATACTATGGATTGTGTTCTGCAAGGCTTATATGGTTAATGCAATACATCTATTTATTGGATATTCAGACTCAGTTTTATTTTTCATATTATATCCATAAGAAAATGATTTGATAACAGAGATAAAAATAAGGCTCTTTTAGAAATAATATAGTCTTTACAGACTAATAATGAACAACTAGCTGACAGGATTAATACCATCATAAATCAAAAGTTACCTGAAAAAAAATAGTACTATTGAAAAGGATAACAATTTGACAGACAGAATTCAATCCATGTCAAAGGGTAAGGAGAAGTTATCTGAATAAATTCATACTATTGAATTTGATGATCAGAATCTGTTAAAAAAGTTATGATGGGTTAGCAGATAGAGTATCTCTCCAGGAAGGCAATCTGAACAATCCAAATAATGTCCGAAGATGAGATGTTATCTTAAAGGAAAAGCTTCAGACCTTGGAATCACACGTGCAGAATGAGAACCAGAGGCTAGGTGCCTCACTGAAATCACTAGAATACAGGCCAAGAGATTCAAGCTTTTCAAAAGACAGTAGTAAAAAGATTTGAAACGATTGAGGAAATTATTGGAGCTGATGAACAGGGAAAGAAGGTACAAGGATAGGATTCAACATCGCTAGTACCTGTCAGAGATGACATACCCAGGGTTTTAGCTTCCTACTCTGTAATCTACTCTGACAAAGCATCAGGTTCTAAAGGCTCAAAAGGATGCAAAGAAGGTAGATGGATACCTATAAAAATGATGATCTAAAAGAAATTAAGCAATCAGTAGTAACTTATGGCTTACACTCTGTATTTGTTAGAGAGATGATAAAGACATGGGCTTCTAGCATTAAGGATACCCCACATGACTGGCTTCAGTTAGTTTTAGCAGTCCTGGATGACAGGCTTCAACTGGTATGGAAATGTTATTTCAGAGAAAAGGCAAAAATTTAGAACAACCGGGAAAAGCAAAAGGTTGTGAGACTTCTCAAGATCAAATTCTTGTTGAGCACACTTATGCTAACCAACAGGCTCAAGCTATTTACAATGAACAAATTTTGTCAGCCTTAAATGCTTGGGACAGGATTCAAGAACTAAGAAAACAAATTGAATCATATACCAGGGTTAACCGGGGCCAGAGAGAACCATTTAATGACTTTTTACAAAGATTAACTAAGGCTGCACAAATAGGAGTAACAGACCCAGATGCTAACGAGTACTTATTGAATCTCTGACTTTGGAAAATGCCAACTCAGAATGTAAAAATATACTTGGGCCTTTAGAGGTTAGATCAGCACCAAGGGATGAATGGATCATGCATAAAATGAACATTGAGACATTTGACTATAATACTGAATCTTGGGTAGGAGAAACAATTTCCAAAGGTATGGGGAGACATCAAAATGCCAAATGTTTTAATTGTGGTAGAATAGGGCATCTGAGAAGGGATTGTAGACAAGGAATTCCTAGAAATAATGTCTCCTCTTGGAGTGGCAAAAATAAAAGTTATCAACCTTCTGGATTATGTACAAAGTGTGGCAAAGGCTGACATTAGACCAATGAATACAGATCAATAAAAGACAGACAAGGCAACCTGATATCATTGGGAAACTCCTTGGGGGACCTCTTGCAGGCCCCAAGTCAAAATTGGTCCAGTCATCATTTCCAGTCACTGTGGAGGGCATGTCTCACCAGGAAAATTAAAAAATCCAGAGCCTTCTGTAAAAAAAAAAAACCCATACTGTCCTGGATGATGGGATAAACATTGATGGTGAATCAAAAATTCCAATAGGTAATAGGAAACATATATTTCACAGACTTCTATAAATGATCAAAGGCCAAAGCTAAGAGAGCGTATAAATGGCATTGTAATTGTGGGTTTGATACACATAGGTGTGGATGTGAGTATCATTACTCCAGAATTCTAGCATCCAAATTGGCCTCTTTAAGAAGCACATGTTCAATTACTAGGAATTGGAACCCTATCTCGAGTGAAACAAGCACAGGATGGTTGAATGCATAGGGCTAGAAGGACAGAGACTGTATGTAGCTAATATTGCAGTGAATTTATGGGGTCCTGACCTACTGTAGCAAAGGAATACCCAGATTAACATTCCTGTAGTCCCATAAACTCATATTTCTGGGAAGGATATTATAATGTACTATACACAAAGGTCATCAGCCATTCAGGCTGTACAAGAACATAAAGCAACTAGCAAACCTTTAGAGGTACCAATGATTCTACCCTTAAAATGGTTAACTGAGAAACCAACATGGGTTAAATAGTGGTTTTTAAAAGAAGACAAACTGCAGGCTTTAGAACAGCTGTTACAGGAGCAACTAGATGCTCACCATATTGAAGAATCAACCAGCCCTTGGAATTCTCCTGTGTTTGTTGTAAAAAAGAAATCTGGTAAATGGAGAATTGTGACAGATCTAAGAGCCATAAATAAGGTAGTTCAACCTATGGGCCCTCTACAATCTGGAATTCCTTTGCCTTCTCTACTACCAAATGATGGCCTCCTATAGTTATTGATTTAAAAGATTTTTTCACTATACCTCTACAAAAAAAAAAAAAGACAGAAAAATTTGCCATCACAGTGCCACTTATAATAATTCTTAGCCTACTAAGAGGTATCAGAGGACTGTCCTTCCACAGAGAATGCTCAATAGCTTCACCCTATGCCAATATTTTGTAAGTCAGCCATTAGAAATAATAGGTAAGAAAATTTCCTAAATCTATAACTTACCATTACATGGATTGCATTATGCTAATACAAATATAGATACTTTAGAAAGAATATGTGAAGAAGTAAAGAAAGTCTTGCCAAAATATTTGATGGCTGTCTTAGCTTTGACTGCTATAACATAATACCAGAATCTGGGGAGTTTAAAGTAAACAGGGATCTTTTTCCCGTGGTTCTGAAGGCTGAGAATCCAAAGTCATGGCACCAGCACTGTTGGGCTCCGTGAAAGCCTTTTGTTTGTTTGTTTACAAATTGCTCCTGAAAAAAATACAGAGAGGAGATTCTGTCAATTACCTAGGTTATAAAAATAGGTTTCTTTTATTAGAAATTAGAACACAAAAGCCATGAATTAGGAGAGATCGATTGCAGACTCTTAATGACTTTCAAAGACTGTTAGGAGACATTTCCAGTCTACAACCAGCTGTTGAGATAATACCTGCTCTAATAGTTCATTGAAACAAAACCTTAGATGGTGACAAAGACTTACATAGTCCCAGAGAATTAACAGCTGGAGCAGAAAAAGAATTGATTGTCATTGAAGAAAAATTACAGGAGGCATATGTGTATAGGGTGAATCCAATCTTAATTGCATTCTAGTCATATTGCCTTCCTATCATGCATCCGGCCTCTCTTCCAGCTGCAGGATTCAGTTGCTGTTTCCCATTTGAGCAGAAGACTGTGATCTGTGAGTCTGCCCCTACCTAAATAAATAATCCTCTATTATACTCAATTCTGAGCTAGTGTGGGGTTTCTTTTTAGTGTCCATCTTCACTGCTTTGTTTGTCTGCTTAAATTATGTTGACCTTTAATCTTTTTCAATATTTGATGGCTGTCTTAGCTTTGACTGCTTTAACATAATACCAGAATCTGGGGAGTTTAAAGTAAGCAGGGATCTTTTTCCCGTGGTTCTGAAGGCTGAGAATTCAAAGTCATGGCACCAGCACTGTTGGGCTCTGTGAAAGCCTTTTGTTTGTTTGTTTAAGCTGATTGCTGTCTTCTCATCGTGTCCTCATCTGTGGCAACTGAGGTGAACTCACTAGGATTTTTAATATACACATTGCCTGCCTCATCATGACTGTCTTTTTTTTTTTTCTACTACAACATGAAGACTCAGGGCTTGTGAGACATCTCAGTGAGGAGAAGGGCTTGCCAAGCTTGAAGATTCAAGCTCAGTCCCTGGAGCTTGCATGGTGGAAGGAGAGAACCAACTTCCAGAAGGTATCTTCTAACCTCTGCATGTACACTATGACATACACATTCCTCCTCCCCTGAGACAATAATAAACAAATAAACAAACAAATAAATAAAATTTTACCAAAGGAAACAAAATGAAGACCCAGCTGGGTGCAGTGGTGCACACCTGCCTTCTCAGCTATCCAGGAAGCTGAGTTAGCAGGATCATTTGTGACAGAGGCTGAAGGTCAACCCAGACAATATAACAAGATTACCATGAAGGGATGGATGTCTCCTGTGACTGGATTGGTGGTCCTTTGCCCATTCTCTTTCACACACATCTGTGCCTCCTCTTCACATGACTCCCCTTCTGCTTCTCCAACAGGTTCTGCAATTCCCAGTGCACTGACACATCTTTGTTTTAAATATAACCTCAGTGGGACCCCATCGTGAATCATATCCGTGTAATAAATAGCTCAACCAACACAGAGGAAGCTCCTTATATAACCTGCTCAGTGGATCCACCCAGTGTGGGGATTGAATTGTGAGGTGTGAGGTTAGTAAAGAAAGTGTGAACTCAGTGCGGAGGTGAGGTGTGAACAAGAGGAAGCTATGGACCTATGCACATGTCCATATGTGTGGACGTGCTCTCCACGTCTGCACCCGATAAGCTGGAGGCTCGGCAGTGTTGTGTGGTCTCTGCACTGAAGCCCATCTAGTATGTCACTGCCAGAGGAGTTCTTACAAACATTCCTTTGATCAAGTCATTCAGAGTTTTAAAAAGCCATCAATTTCTATGAACACAAAGCATGAACACTTTCAATTTCAAACACCCACGACCCCTTCCCCTCCACTCTGCACATTTTAGGGCTGTACTCAGTTTTTAGCTAGACTTCATTGGGCTGAGTTGGTTAGAACATTAATCACTTTGTTATTATCCACAGATATCCAGGGGCCCTCTGGAAAAACTTGCTCTGAAAAGTTCTCAGGCTGGAGACTCAGCTGAGGGATGGAGCAAAGAGAGAAGGAAAAGTTTGTGTTCCAGGCTAAGCCATGTTAAACATTTGTTTATCTTTCTTTGAACACTTTCCTTACAGTTACTTGTTACTTCTCACCGTCTGTGATCACATGGCCTCTGAAGCTGAAAATAAAACCCAAGGGCTTTGGGGTGAATTGTAACTTAAAATTTTAAAAATATCTTTTTTTTTTTCTACAATAATTTTTCAGGAAAACTTGGCTCTCCTATTCTCCTACGTTCCCAAAGTAAGCCAGTGAGAGGACACAGAAACCTGCCAGGGTAAAGGCACATTGAAAGTAATTGATGTTCCAACCAACTCAGTTTTCTGAAGTGGTTTCTTGTTTGCAAGTATAATTTGGAAAATGTCTGACACGAGAGAAGTTCTAAAATTATCCCTAATGTAGACTAAACACTATCAAATTTATCAGAGAGAGATTTGACCTCCTAATGTAGGCACAACCTCAAATAAACTCACCATGAATCTTTGAGTGCTACACGCAGCTCACTTTAGAAAACTCCAGGTCCATTATAATGAATTATTCATTGAAAACCCATCTCCCTACTTAACTCTGAACAGACATAAATGAAAACCTAGTCCATTCCCAAAGGCCACGGAGCCACATTCTGGTGGTTAATATCCTGTTACCATTGGACAATGGATTATCTACAACTCAAATATACTTCTGTAAAATTTACATTAGTCATGAAAATCATGGGAGATGATTGCCTTCTGGGTGGATGGACTCTGGGCCAATGTTACACTTGTTTGTTGGAGGAAGCTGTTTGCTGGTTCCCGGCTACTCATCCCCAAAATAAACATACAGAAACTATATTACTCAAATCACCGCTTGGCCCATTAGCTCTAGCTTCTTATTGGCTAACTCACAGAGATTCACCTGCCTCTGCCTACTAAATGCTGGGATTGAAGGTGTGGACCTCCATCACCTGGATGGAAATAAATTTTTAAAACAGTTGAGACTGGGGCATGATTATAAACTAGTATAATCCCAGGACCTGGGAGGTGGGGCTGCTATCCAGTCAAGATCATCCTCAGCTCTAGAGTAGTTTTGAAGCCAGCCTGAACTGCATGAATCCTGCTTTAAAAACTCAGAGAGTGCACGACATGAAGACAGCTGAGATTCCTGATTCAATATGACAAACACTGGGGACCCATAGGTTACCCCTTTCTCAGTACACTTTTGTTCTTTTAATGGGAGGGTTTTCTCAAGTGTCAGATGATAATAGGACCAGAATTACAGGGCTCAGAGATTAGATTATTTGAAGTCTGATTCACACACAGTGCTGAGACAGAGGCGCTCTGTGTTTGGTCATATTATCCTATGGTTGAGTCCCAAGGCTCTGTCCCAAGGTGCACTTGGCACTGTCTCCATCCTTCCTCTTTTCGCTCCGGCGTGAAATATTTGGAACTACTCCACAGCTACAAAACGCATACATGAGAAACTTCCCCTTCTTACATGTGTGTGCTTGCTTTCCCTGACACTCTGGGCTCCCTTTCCCTAAAGAACCCCCTCTGCCCCTGGATGCCTGACTGCTGTGTGGACATGGACGACCCTCACACTGGCTTTGGTCTTCCATCTCCTGCTTGGGGCAGATTGTCTGCCCTAGGATCTTCCATCTCCTGCTCGAAGTGGCTTGTCTGCCCTAGACTTTGTCTTTGAACCTCTAATGGAGTTGTTCTTCATGGGCTGGGGACATGATTCAGCGGTGAAGAGCACCTGCTCATGCAAAGGACCCAGTCCAGGGGATCCAATGCCTTCCTGACCTCCATGTATACCAGATACGCATGCACACTACATATGTGAAGGCAAGACATACTAATGCACATAAAATAAAAATCTAAAATTAAAATTGTCCTTGAATTTAAACAACCTCATATACACATAAGCCATTTTCTTTTCTTCTTTTAAATTGTACTTTATGTGCCTTGGTGTTTTGCCTGCATGTATGTCTGTATGAGGGTGTTGCTTCCCCTGGAACTTACAGACAGTGTGAGCTACCATGTGGATGTTGGGAATTGAACCTAGATTCTCTGAAGAGCAGACAGTGAGTGCTCTTAACCCATGAGCCATCTCTCTAGCCCCCCCCCCCCCTTTCTAATAGAAGTACTGAGACAAGGGACTAAACTGAGTTTACCATGTGACTCCTTGAAAGTCACACTAATTCTCTCCCGTGTTTTTGTCCTCAGTGTCACCTGGGATTGACAGCTCAGCCTGAACTCTACCTTCTGAACGCCGTGGATGCTAACTCATTTGTGTCTAGATGATGAACAGCCCGAGAGACTTTAAGAATGCTTTTCCTCAGCCCTTTTGTGCCAAGTGTCTGTTAGCCAATCTCAGTTAGTTCAGAGGTGAACTTGTTGAGATGTTTTGAACAAAGGCAGAGATTTCCTCGTGAGATCCAGGGTAAAGGCTAAGAGCTGTGCATGGGTCCTAGCCCCGCTAACCTCCAGCAGTCAGACAGTAGGGAGTGGTAAACAGTGGCAGTGGGCAGCCGTGCTCCCCACCGTGCTCCCCCACAGGCTCGTGCCTGCACTTCTGGGAATTAAAAATGTATGAACATGTATTTATGTAAACCCAAACATGCCAGTTTGGGTAAGATTTTAAGGTTATAAAAACTGATAGATTTTTTTTAAAAAAAAAAATGTTCAGTTAAATTAGGTATTTGTTTTTATCTGGCTCCTAAGTGAGGAAGGGAATGAATCTTTTTCCACTGGACTTTCTACATTAACGATCTTTTAAAGTGCTGTTTCACTGCGCTGGTGGTTTCAGTTCAATGTCATAAATCAGGATGTCTCTTTGGTAGCTGCTAATACCTGCGTATCACTTAAAGTGTGCGTGTGTGTGCATGAGTGTATGTGTGTGCGTGTGTGTGTGCACTCACACGTGTATGTCCAAGTGTGTGCTTGTGTGTGTGTGCACTCATGTGCCTGTATGTCTTTAATGCTTGTGCAGACCACAGGCTGATATCAGGTGTTTCTTTAGTCTCTCTACTCCACTTTGTGAGCCACGGACTTCCTGAACATGGAGCTCACTGCTTGGCTACACTGCCTGGCCAGTGAGTTTGGGGATCCCCCTGCCTCTGTGCCCCAACACTGGGGTTACAGATTCGCTACACTTGGAATTTACGCAGTGCTGGGGACCCAAGCTCAGGTCTTTTGGGACAGCAGGTGCTTCCCTAACTGAAATGTCTCCCCAGTCCCGGGCACATCAGTTTTAATGAGAGCCTTTCTTGTTTGTTTTCACACTGATTGTATCTGTTTTCTAGAGTTTGCCAGTCCGTGGTGTCCCCTCCCACTGAGCATTGACACTCCACATGCCATAGTAAATCCTGTTTCTAAGGGTCACTCTTATCGATACCGTTGGGTTTCCTGGGGAACCCTAAGCATTTTTTTTTCATTTTTTATTTTTTTTGTAATATAATTTTTTATTGAAAAAAAATTTTCCACCTCCTCCCCGCCTCCCATTTCCCTCCCCATCTCCCTTTTCCCTTC